TTATTATAAAATTAATTTAATTATTTTTATTTTATTATTTTAAAATAAAATATTTTAAATAGATGAATTAAAGTAAAAAATATTGGATTTAGTTTAGTTTTAAATAATTGAATTTTAGTATTAAATTAAAATTAAAAATGAGTAATGTTATATAAATAATTATTAGTTAAATATTTAAATTGTGTTGAATTTAATATTTTTTCTTTATTTTTTTAATATTTTACAAGAAAATAGGGAATGCAAAAAAATTTCATATAAAATTTTATGAAGAGAAAATATTATCTATCTCCAATCATAAAAGAGAAATATTCCTCCATGCAAATCATGCCCCACACTCATGATAGGGATGTTCAAAAAAATCTTATGGGGATTCTCGTAAAACCTCACGAGAACTGAGGGAAATCATCATCTCTAATTTAAGGGAAGGGAATGGAGAATTTTTATAATTTGATTAATTAAAAATTATTAAAAAATTACATTCACAAAATATCTATTTTTCATTATATTTAGTATAATCGTTTTACAAATTTTCAAACATTTTTTTTCTTTTTTTAGTAGTATTTTTTTACTTTTTATATATGTTTATTCTACCTTTAATTAATGACATTTATCTTACTTTATCAACCATTATTAATTTAAAGTTAAAAGCTAATAAATATTGTTTATTTCCATAAAAAATATTGTTTATAATAATTTTTTAAAAACGTTTTCTCTTTTATTGATTTTTTAATTTACACACAAACATGCTATCTATTAATCGAAGTTTCTTCCTGCCCCCTAAAAAGGCTTTGAAAGCAAAAGATACACGAGATAGAGGTGGGTGTGGCATGGTAGGGTATTTTGCCGTTTTTATTTTTTCGATACCTTTGTTTGGAATTTTGATATTTGATCATCAATGTTGATATCGTGCCAACTCCATTTTTCCGGCAATCGTTGCCATGCCGACATGAATTTTCTTTACCAATGTCATGTCATTCTGCCTTAAAACCCTTAAATCCAAAGTAAAATTTCTCAACAACAATCCCTATAATTTTGAATATCTAATGAAATTACATTTAAAAATTCAAAGGTCTTTCTTCGGCATCGCCTTGGTGGAAGGCTAGAAACGTCGGGTGACAACAAAAGACACGAAGCTTTGGGGACCAGAAGAACTGATGAGAAAGAGAAGAAGCCTGAGTGGGGTTGAGGTGAGAGGAGAAGGAGGCGTGGGAAAGAGAAAAGTGGAGATGAGGCATAGAAAGGGAGACAAATAGTTCAGATTTTTTTTTTTGAACGGGTTATAATTTTTGGAGGTCGGGATTCAAACCCAATCTTACTATTAATAGTGCCTTTTAGGAGCTGATGTATAGTCATTAGATCATAAAATTTAGGTGTAGTTGAGATTTTGATATTTAAATATTAGTGTTTTTTTTTAAATTTTTTTAACTCTTTTCTTCCTTGGTTTATGTTTTGTATTCTTTTAGAAAAATTAGTTAACAAATGCAATTAAGTGTAGTTAAATTTATAAATTTATTAAATTGTCTTTAATAAAATTAATTTTTAAAATTTTTTTACTATTTTATTAATAATAATGTGATTAAAAAATTAATTTATTTTATTACTCAAGAAAAATTAGTTAACAAATGCAATTAAGTGTAG